CCGCGCACTGACCGCCTTGCGGTGCACCAGGAGGAGGAGCAGGAGGAGGAAAAAGGAGGAGAAGGAGGAGGAAAAAGGAGGAGGAGGAGGAGGAAAAAGGAGGAGGAGGAGGAGGAGGAGGAGGAGGAGGAGGAGGAGGGGGAGGGGGGGCAGGAGCAGCAGGAGGAGGAGGAGGAGGAGGAAAAAGGAGGAGGACGAGGAGGAGGAGGAAAAAGGAGGAGGAGGAGGAGCAGCAGGGGGATGAGGGGCAGGAGCAGGAGGAGGAGGAGGAGCAGGAGGAAAAAGGAGGAGGAGGAGGAGGAGGGCAGGCAGGAGGCGCGCGCCCGCGCGCGCCGGATCTCGACGACTATGCGTCGCCAGCAGAAGGTTCGGCTCCACGCCTGCCTCCTCCCCTCCTCCTCCTCCTCCTCCCCTCCTCCTCCGCCTCCTCCCCTCCTCCTCCTCCTCCTCCTCCTCCTCCTCCTCCTCCAGCTCCAGCTCCAGCTCCAGCTCCAGCTCCTCCTCCTCCTCCTCCTCCTCCTTCTCCTCCTCCTCCTCATCCCTCCCTCCTGGGCGTTGCATGTCGACCGTCACTTGTTGTCCTCGCCCGAGGTCGAGTCCAGCCTTTTTGCGCTCATCACCAGGCCCAGCCCCCACCCAGCGCTGCATCATCAGTGTCTCTTCGAGATGGCGTCTCGCCCGGCCCTTCCCGGCAACAGGAGCCTGAAGGAGGCGGATCCCACCATGGCGGCGCTGATCGAGGAGGATATCAGGGCAGCTAAAGCCGCAGAGTTGAGATCTGCTGTCCGCCCTTCTCGTCCCTCTTCCAGAGGCCCGCTCCAAGTCATCTCATAGTCACGAGGCGTCGTGAGCAGAGCATAACATGTAGTACAGAAACGGTGTGTTGGCAATGTCGTGGACTGTTTTCGTTTTGATGTTGTTCTGCAGCAGCGGCGGAACGAAGACAGAGCGAGGGACGACAAAAGCAAAACGACAACCAACAACCCTGCCTAGCTTGAGCCCTGTGGAACAAAAACCCCAATCAGTGGATGGTTTTCGCTGAGAGGATCAACCGGGACCCCGGGAACCGGGAACCAGGGAACCCAGCTTGCTACCAAAATCGGCGGGAAATGTTCGCCAAATTCTTCAATTCTAGACGCTTCGCGTATCCCCACCAGCCCGTCCAGAAATGAGTCCCAGGGGAGTGGAGGTTATGAGGGAAGCGGGGGAGCATGCAGAAGAACAAAGGGCGGGGTGAGCCGCCATATACCCCAAGAGGGGGAGGATGTAGGAGGAGCCGTCGTCGTCGGAGTAGGAGGAGGAAGAGGAGGAGCAGGAGGAGGAGCAGGAGGAGGAGGAGGAGGAATAGAAGGAGGAGGAGATGGAGGACTGCGAGGACGAGGAGGACGAGAAGGAGGAAAAGGAGAAGGAGGAGGAGGAGGAGGAGGAGGAGGAGGAGGGGGAGGAGGGAGGAGGAAGAAAAAGAGGAGGAGGAGGAGGAGGAGGAGGACAATTGCGAGCTTGGGGCCTCTTGGGCCGTCCTTGGGGCCTCTTGGCGGTCCCGGGGGCCTCTTGCGTATCTCGGGGAGCCTCTTGTGGCCTCTTGGGGGTCTCTTGGGGGCCTCTTGGGGGCCTCTTGGGGCCTCTTGGGGCCCTCTTGGGGCGCTCTTGGGGCGCTCTTGGGAGCCTTCGAGGCGCTCTTGGGGCCATCTTGGAGGAGATCTATCAAAGAAGGGGGGGTCCCCAATTAGCGCTGCCCCTCTAGAGTGCCTCGAGTCGCCTCTTGGGCCCCCCCAAGAGGCCAAAATCCTTCCAAAACCTAGGTAAAATCAATGTTTTTTGTTTTCTCGCCTTTTCGCTCTTGGACCCGTCTTGGGAGCCTCTTGGGCCTCTTGGGGGTCTCTTGGGAGCCTTTTGGAGGCCTCTTGGGCGCCTCTTGGGGCCTCTTGGGGCGCTCTCGGGGCGCTCTTGGGGCGCTCTTGGGAGCCTTCGGGGCGCTCTTGGGCCAATCTTGGAGGAGAACGTCCTTCCATTCAAAGATCTTGGAGGGGGGGGGTCTCTTGCTCTTGGATTAGCCCCGCCCCTCCAGAGTGCCTCGAGTCGCCTCTTGGGCCCCCCCAAGATGCCAAAATCCTTCCAAAACCTAGGTAAAATCAATGTTTTGTGTTTTCTCGCCTGTTCGCTCTTGGAGCTGTCTTGGGCCATCTTGGACGCTCTGACACCTCGCGACCGGCCCCGTCCAGGTCAGTGGGGAGGGGTAAGGGGAGGGGTAAACCCCTCCCCGAAGGGGAAGAAGGGGGTTGGCAGAGGAAACTCCCTAGACCACCTACGCCCTAAAGGGCTGGTGGGATTTCCGCCAGGACCCCGTCAGTGCAAGCTCTGACTGGGGAGCAGGCCACAGGCAGGCCACGACAGCCGCGCTCCGGGCGCATGCAGGGCCCGATCGAGTGGACCTGGGCCTCCTGGATGGGGTCCGAGCAGGTGGGGTCGGAGGATCGCGCTGCATCGCCGATGCATCGACGATGCGGCTCGATATGGAGACCGTGTTTCCAACGCCGACGTCGCCGATGCACTGCCGACGTCACCGACGCATCGCCGATGCATCGGCGATGCATTGACGATGCATTGACGATGCGGCGAAGTCCTTCGACCCCATCCACTCGGACCCCATCTAGGAGGCCTCTAGTGGAGCAAAGGGGCCTCCGCGCGGCCCTCCGTGGCTGGCGGAGCGGCGCCCAGGACGCACAAGGGGCTCGCAATGTTGTGAAGGTGCCGCCGACCCTCCTCCTCCTCCTCCTCCTCCTCCTCCACCTCCTCCCTCCTCCACCTCCTCCTCCTCCTCCACCTCCTCCTCCTGCACCTCCTCCCCCTCCTCCTCCACCTACCTCACCACGTGAGAAATGAAACTGCTGGAAAAAAAACCCTCCTACTCCACCTCCTTCTCATGAAGGACGACGACGGCGACGACGACGACCACCACGGCGACGAAGACGACGACGACGACGACGACGACGACGACGACGACGACGACCACGACCACGGCGACGACGACGACGACGACGACGACGACGAACTGAGGGCCCTGCCACAGGCTCGGGGCACGGGGGGGAGGGGCGCACGGTCTCTGCCCTGCCTCTGGGCGCTGCAGAGCCGACGCGCCAAGAGCAGAGGGAGGAGGGGGAGGAGGAGGAGGAGGAGGAGGAGGAGGAGGAGGAGGAGGAGGAGGAGGAGAAGGGGGAGGAGGGGGAGGAGGGGGAGGAGGGGGAGGAGGGAGGAGGAGGAGGAGGAGGAGGAGGAGGAGGAGGAGGAGCAGGAGAGACCGTTCCATGCGATTGTGGTCCTCCCTCGAGGAGAAGCAGCGGCAGATCAACTCGATCGAGCTGATCGCGTCGGAGAACTTCACGTCCAGGGCGTGCATGGAGGCGCTCGGGTCCGCGCTCACCAACAAGTACTCCGAGGGCCAGCCTGGGGCGCGCTACTACGGAGGCAACGAGGTCATCGACAAGATCGAGAACCTGTGCAAGGACCGCGCTCTTCAGGCGTTCAGCCTTGACGCGAAGAAGTGGGGCGTCAACGTGCAGCCCTACTCCGGCAGCCCGGCCAACTTCGCCGTCTACACGGCACTGTTGCCGCCGCACGCGCGCGTCATGGGCCTGGACCTTCCCAGCGGTGGCCATCTGACCCACGGCTACTACACCGCCAAGAAGAAGATCTCGGCGACGTCGATCTACTTCGAATCTCTGCCGTACAAGGTGCACCACGAGACCGGCCTGATTGACTTCGACGAGCTCCGCAAGACGGCGCTGGTCTTCCGGCCCGCCATGATCCTGTGCGGAGCCTCGGCCTACCCGCGCGTGGTGGATTTCGCCAAGTTCCGCGAGATCCGGGTTGCTTGCGCCACATCCCTTGCGACCCCTTCAGTACTCGGAGGTGGATAGACCTCCTACCCTGACACGTCGATTAAGGAATTGGTCGTTTTCGGTTCGCGAGGGGACGTCGCGGCCGTCATCTTTGCGGGTCCAGGTCCGTCGGTTTCGGTCCCAGGCCGTTTTCCCTAAGGGGAGGTTTATTAAAGAGAGGTTTGTCCACCGCCGAAGTACGATCACTCGCGTAACTTGTCGTGTGCCTCTATTCCTTGATGTTCCCGCGGCGGGGTGGTCGATAGTCAAGGTCGACGGTTTCGCAGAAGGGCTCTCACAAGGGCCTTCGGAGGGTCTCTGCTGGACCTCTGGCAGTCGTTCACTACTCACCAAACCGCCCCAACCCAACCCGAAGGTCCTAGACGCCCCGAAATTTCGGGTTGGGGGGTGTACGGGTTCCCACTGAGTTGTCTCTATGGTCCGGATCATTCCCCCACTAGAAATTGACAGGCCCAACGACGACTTCGGGTTGGGTTGGGTTGGCTTGGTTGGTAGTCAGTCGTCGCCCGATCTGGGTGTTCAGAGGGTTGAAGAGGGACGCTTGGGAGGAGTACCAGACTGTCGAGGACTGTCACCTCGACCTCTTAGAGGCCCTCCTAGGCCATCTTGGCCTGGTCGTCCACAGTAGCACCAGATTCAGGAATTTTCGGGGCCGTCCTGTGCCATCTTGGGCCACCCTAGGCATTACTTGGAACTGATTTAGCCTTAGGGATCCCTCTGGACTCTGTTGGAGCTATCGTTGGCCTACCAGCTCAGGAGCCAGAAATCATTAAATGACATGGTGTTTCGATGGCTCTTAGCGGCATGGTGTCTCGCTTGGGGCATCTCTTGAGGCATCCGTTCCGCCTCTGGGGGGGGTGGGGGCCTCTTGGGTTTCTTGTAGGCCGTGGTGGTACCTCTTGGGATTCGTTTGGACCCTCTAGGGGCATGATATCGACACTGCCGCGCGCCAGGCAGCCTTCTCGTACATCGGATGGCCCAGCGAGGTTGAGGCGGAGTTTTTTGAGGCGGGGATGGGGGCCGTTGGATGGGAGCCGCTCTCTGACACGCGAGGCTACCTGAAGGGATCGGCGGATCGCCGACGAGGTCGGAGCGCTCTTGATGGCAGACATCGCGCACATCTCTGGCCTCGTTGCCACAGGACAGCACCCAGCGCCCTTTGAGCATTGTGACGTGGTGACCACCACCACCCACAAGTCGCTCCGAGGCCCGCGCGCAGGCATGATTTTCTTCAAGTACTCGGACGCCATCCCCGACATCAAGGAGCGCATCGACATGGCCGTCTTCCCTGGCCTGCAGGGGGGACCCCACAACCACCAGATCGGCGCACTCGCGGCGCAGCTGCTGGAGGTGAACACCCCAGAGTTCAAGGAGTACTCCAAGGCCGTGGTGACCAACTCGCAGACGCTGGCCAAGACGCTCCAGGAGAAGGGCCACAAGCTCGCGAGCGACGGCACAGACAACCACCTGGTGTTGTGGGACCTCCGCCCCCACGGCCTCACGGGCTCCAAGCTCGAGAAGGTGTGCGAGGAGGCGTCCATCTCGCTCAACCGCAACGCAGTGCACGGCGACGCCTCGGCGCTCTCGCCAGGCGGCGTCCGCATCGGTACTCCCGCCATGACCACGCGTGGCTGCACCACCGACGACTTCGTGAAGATCGCGGGATTTCTGGACAGGTGCTGCCAGGTCGCCCTCAAGGTCCAGGCCGAGAAGGGCAAGAAGCTCAAGGACTTCGAGGCTGGTCTGCAGGCCCGGAGCCTGAAAGGGAACAACAACATTTCCATGCCACCGAAAAACCTAAAATCGCTAAAATATCTTGCGTCCTCAATGTTTCAGTAAGCCTTCCCCCTTTGGAGCCGGAATCGCCCGCTATTGCGACCGTTTTGGGTCTCCCTTGGGCCATAACCGTCCGGAGGCCTCAGGAGTCCCTCGGAGGTGAACAGGCGAGAATACCAAAATTATATGTTGTCTGCTGGTGTTGGAATGGTTTGGGTCTCTCGGGAGCGTCCTTAGGAGGCTCCGTGGCCAATGGATGCCGTCTTGGAGCGGTCTCGGGCCCTCTTGGAGGAGCATGGTGGAAGCCATCTCGAGCGACCGATGTTGCAGTATCTTATTCTCGAGCGACCGATTTTGCAGTATCTTATTCCATATTGGAAGGCATCCTGAGCTTTCTTGGGTGTGGTTTCCACTATCTGATTGGGCATATCGGAAGGCATCTGGGGTTTTCTTGAGCTTCCTTGTGCATATTGGAAGGCATTTTGCACCGTCTTATTCCATATCGGAAGGCATCCTGGGCTTTCTTGGAGCCACCCCGGACCATCTTGGGCGCCCCAACGCCATGCGGGGCGCCCTGTCCAGACCCAGCGGGAGTGGGGAGGGGGGGGTTACGGTATGCTCATGCGGCGTGGGCGCGCCGGCGATGCCCGCGAAGGCGTTCGAGGTTGAATGCTTCGGCGCGGAAGTGTCGAGAGACACGGGAACGCTGTTGGACCCGACGGAATTCAACCTTGAACGATCGGGGCCGCGATCGATTCCAGGCTGAACAGTCGACGCGGTGTCAAAATTTCTGCGCGCGCCGACGCCGCACGGACCTTTCGTAAACCTCTCCCCGAAGGGGAGATAGCGTGTTGGCAGAGGAAACGTTCTTGACCATTTCAACCACGAGTGTTGGTGGGATTCAGCTTCAGCCCTGGCATTGCCTCAGCTCCGATCATCCGGCTTCAAATCTGTCTGGCCGAATGCTCGGCTGAATATTCGGTTCAGTCTGGCTTAGCCGCACCCACGAAGACCTCCCAGGAGTTGCCACAGAATGAGGAAAACCTCGGTCATGGGATAACTTACAAACTTTGGTCGTCAAATTACTTGGGCCCTCACGAGGGGAACGCTGACATCGCGGCTATCAAGAAGGACGTTCAGGCGTTCGCTTCCGCGTTCGGCTACCCTGGTCTCTGAGCAGCGATGAGGTTGCGAGTACCTCACCACAGTCAGGCCAGATCCCAGAGGGGAGGAGTAGCTGTAATTTTTTGTTCGGTCCTAGATGTCTGTACAGCCGCTGCAGTTTGTTTCCCCCCTGGCGTTGGCTTGCTGATATTTCAGAGAGCTTCCCACTGCTATCTCAGCCGGCGGCACGCAACAGGGGGCGAGTCGCGGGCCTTGAGGCGGGGGTCAACACAAACGGGGGTCAGTCAGAGCGCCGGATCTTGCAGGATCCTGCAGGGCCAGGGGCGCAGTGACCCGGGCCTGGGTGCAGGATCCAGGAGGAGGAGGAGGAGGAGGAGGAGGAGGAGGAGGAGGAGGAGGAGGAGGAGGAGGAGGAGGAGGAGGAGGAGGAGGAGGAGGAGGAGGAGGAGGAGGAGGAGGAGGAGACTGCAGGATCCTGCAGAGCCCGACGGACCCAGGTTAGCACTTGGCCCGCGTCGGCGGGTCCCCGGGCAAGGGCAGGGGGGGGGGGGGGGGGCAGCCTGCCCAGAAGCTCTCCCGCCTGTCTGAGAAGGATCGGGGGGGAAAAACACACAGACACAAGTAATCGTCGATTCCCCCGAAAATATGGGAAAATACGGGAAGTAGGGGGGAAGAGAAAAGCACAGGAAATACATGAAAAGATGGGGAATCCTGTCATCTGTGTCTATTTATTTGTGTGTCCCAGGGCCCCTTCAAAGGATTCGGGCGCGTGGCCGTTCAGGGGCCAACCCCTTCTCAGAGCACCCCCTGAAGCGGTCGCCCCCCCCCTCGCCCTGTGCAGCTCCCTCCTGCTTGCTCGCCGCAAGGTGAACTCTTGACCGTGGCGCTTGCTCGCTGTCTGGGGAAGCGATGCCATCTTGACGAATCCTCTGCGGGTCGCAGTGATTCAGAAACGTTCCAGGGATCGCTCCACGCGAAAATTGCACCGCGGAGTTGGAAGGAGGAGGAGGAGGAGGAGGAGGAGGAGAAACCAGGCTACCTCGTGCCATGAAAAATCCGCGACGGAAGGGGGAAGAATCTATATGTTCTGCCTCTGGGGGCCTTCTCCTCTGGGCCCCCAGGACTGTCAAAACCCGGCTCTGGATGAAACAGCAGTCCCAGGGAATGTCGGGGGCGGAAAAGAGGGGGGTGATGACTAGGGGGGGGGGATTTCATGGCGCGGGCCATGATTTTTCCTCAGATTTCATGGCGCCTCTTCTTATTTCATTACGGCCCTGGCCCCCCCGCTTGGCCGCGCACATGCCGCCGGTCATGATTTGCACCCCCCCCTCTTGGACACCCCCCTCTTTGCCGCTCCCGAGAATGGGGTCACGACGCTTGGGGGTCCACGGTGAGAAAAAGTCACTACTTCGGAGGCTCGGGGAGGCGAGACGACGAGGTCGAGGACCACGACGAGGTCCATCGGGAGGAGGCCCCGCTGAGCTGGCCGCAGGCCCCTCCGAGGGGCACATGCGTCGGGCGGGTGGCAACGGGGGATGACCTCAATGTGGGGTGAAGAAAGAGCCCTTAAGGGCCCTTTAGGGCCCTATTTCTCACCCCCATAGTTAGCTCGGCCCACCCCCCAACAACCACCCACCCGCCCGAAAGCGATTACCGAGATTGCCGTTGCTGGCGAATCAGGCTCTGCTGTGCATCACATCGGTCGTCTTACCATGGCATCTTGCAGTGAGCCACGGCGTGCTACAGTATGCACCCGTTATATTGTTGTTACCGTTACTGGAACGCTTGGATGTCATAGCCGGCTGAGGCTCCCCCGCTTCAATGCTTGAGGTGTCACGTGAATTGCATCAGCTTCATGAGTTTGAAAAGATGCATGTCGGGCCAGAGGCCCAAAGCAGACGCGGGGAGAGCGGCGGTTCTGCGAGGCCCCGAAGACGTCCGCTGATGGCTTCAGGATTGTTTCACGATCGTCTAAACATTGCCTTCATAATCCCCCGATCGACCTCACGACGCTTGCCTGCGCCGGAAAATACAGCCAAAATGGCCTTGAAATGCTCCCCCGTGGCCCCCTCAGGACCTACAAGGATGCTCTTGGGAGGTCACAGTAACTGAAGCATCTGATGTTTTTGTCAACGTCTGTGCTTTTCCACAAAGGACTCGAGATGGCTTTCGGGCTGCCCTGGGCAGTGGCCCAAGAAGCTCCCTGGACGAGACCCAGGCTAGCCTGCCTGATCCCCTCTTATTATTCCAATAATTGAACCCCTCCCTCCCACCTGATCCTCGCCCCTGCTGCGTGTACAAATCGACACCCGATGTCCTCCTTGATGCAGACTTCGCGCCCTCGCCGACAGCACGCGTGGCACGCGACTAAGACGCGAAAGTTGTATGCAGCCAGCAGTGGTCCAAGGCGGGGCTGCTATCCCTCGGCCCCACCGCGAGACATCAAGGTCCGTGGGGCGCGCCGCTGCGTCTTTGCCCAAGGTGTCCCAGGTCCCTCGAGCCAAGCCTTGGCCCAGCAGCCACCTTTGGCCCAGGCCAGGCCAGCGCAAGCGACTGCGCCCGCTCCGCCCGACCTCCCGGAGCCAGCTGCGAACATGGCGGCCGCCACAGGCCTGAAGGGCAAGCTCGCGGCCCTCGAGGACTTCATCTCGATGCAGAACGAGGAGCTGGCCGCCCAGAGGCAGGAGATCGAGAGCCTGCGCAACGACAAGAGCAATCCGGTTGCGTTGCGCGCCCGTCCGCCGCCGCCCCCAGGCTGTGTACACGCGCGAGCATGGGGCCAGCTCCGATGCGTACTCCAGTTGCAACTTGATGTGTTTGCGCAGATCGGCAAACTCGTTGGGAGTAGGCGCTGCTATTCTTACAGAAGGTGCTCGGGGTTCATGTAGGCCCACGAGCGTAAAGGGCCCCTCTCGTCCTCTGCTTGGGGCGGGGAGCTGGTCTCCAAGCGGCGAGAGACTGATCAGTCTTCACCCCACGGATTTTCGTCGTCGTCGTCGTCGGTCGTCGGTCGTCGGCCGTCGGCCGTACGTCGTCGTCATTCGCCGACCCGACCGGAACGGACAATGTGATGGCCTGGGTTTGGTGTTCGCAAGATTGTCCAGGATTGTGAAATTCTTCTCGGTTGTATACGATATGATTCCTGGAAAGTAGCTAGCTGAGGTTGTTGCTTCTGTCCTAGTTTCATGTCCAGGTGTGCTTCCACGGGCTTCGCAGGGGGCTTCCCAGGGCCCTCAACGTCCTTACAAGGAAGCTCCGCAAGGTTCCCTGAAACCCCTTGCCGGGGAGCTTCCTGGGGCTCCTCTGACCCTCGGCGGTACGGTTCCAAGCGCCCTGGGGCGCGGTAAACCAGGCCGTGGACACGGTTTTTCAAGCGCCCCTCGGACGCGGTAAACCAGGTCGTGGATACGGTTTCAAGCGCCTTTGGAAGCGGTACTGGATACGGTTGCAAGCACCCTGGGAAGCGGTAAACCAGGCCGTGGATACGGCTTCGAGCGCCCGCGGAAGCGGTGAACGCTGACCGAGAACGCTTGACACGGGGCCTGGGGCTCCAGAAACGTGGATGCCAAAAAGTGCACTGGGGGCCCAGAACGCCTGGAACGGGCCTGGAGCCCAGAATGCTTGCGACATGACCTAGGGCTTCAGAGAGCCTAGAACGGGACCTGGGGCCCAGAATGCCTGAGACGGGATGTGCAGCCCCGGATGCCTGAAACAGAATTTGGGGCCCGGAACGCCTGAACCGGAACCTGGAGCCCAGAATACCCGAAACGGCACCCGGGGCCAAGAACGCCCGACGCGTGACCTGCTGGGGCCCCCAGCATCCTCGAACGCGACCTGGGGCCAAGAATGCCCGAAGCGGAATCTGGGGCCCCAAAAGGCTTGAAGCGGGACCCAGAGCGCCCAGATTCCAGGCTCCGACGCAGCCGAGGCCACAGCTCCAGCCCGGCCCTGGCCTTGGCCAGGTTCGGCCCCGGCATCGGCTTCGGCCCCGTTCCCGGCCCAGCTCCGGCCCTGGCATTGACTCCGGCTTCGGGCCTCGACTGGCTCCTCTTTTGTCGCACTCTTGGCAGCCTTGGGGGCCCACTTCGGGCCACCTTGGAAGTTCGATCAAGGAAGGGGGGGCACTCAATTAGAGTCCCTCCTCTAGGGCCCATCTAAACGTCTCTTGGACCCCTCTTGGAGCGCTGTTGGGCGCTCTTTGGGTCGGATTAAGGCCTTCTTGGGTCCATCTTGGGGCTCTCGTGGGCCTTGTTAGAGCCATCTTGAGCCCTCGGAGAGCCGTCGAACGTACACGCATTGTCTTCAGGTGTTTGATGGGTGGTTTGCCTCTTGGTGGCCTCCCTGGAAGGCTCTGTGGCCACTTGGAGCAGTCTTGGGCCTTGGGGCCTCTTGGAAGCATCTCGAGGGCCATCGTGGGCCAGCTTGGACCATCCTGCGCCGTCTTGGAGGCCACCTTGAAGCATCTGGGACCCTCTCGGAGCCCTCTGGGGCCACAAGCCTTTCAAAGGTGCCGCCGAATAGCCAAAATAATTCAAGACAATGTGTGTTTGATGTTTCTGTTGATCAACGGGGGGGGGCTTTCATTAGCATCGCCTTCTCGAGTCCCTCAAATCGCCTCTTGGAGCTCTCTTAGAGCGCTCCTGGGCACACTTTTGGCCGTCGTTGGGCCTTCTTGGGCCCCTCGTGGGGCTCTCTTGTGCCTTGTTGGGGGAGGCCTTGGAGGGCCGTCGAACGCCAAAAGGGGAGAAGGCGACACACATGGGCTCGTCTTCGGCCTTAGGTGTTTGAAGGGCGTGGGCCTCTTGGCGGCTTCCTTGGAAGGCTCCGTGGCCATTTGGAGCAGTCTCGGGGCGGCCTCGGGGCCTCTTGGAAGCATCTCTGAGGCCATCGCATGCCAGCTTGGACCATGCTGCGCCATCTCGGAGGCCATCTTAGAGCATCCGAGGCCCTCTGGGAGCCCTCTTGGACCAACAGCCTCCCAAAGGTGCCCCCGAATAGCAACCATCCGTCAAAGCCCATATGCTTTCCAATGCTTTCGCTGATCAACGAGGGGGGAGCTTTCATTAGCATCGCGCCTCTAGACCCCTAAAGCCGCCCCTTGGAGCGGTCTTGGTCGCTCTGGGGGCCGTCGCGGGGCCCCTCTTGGGCTCTTCGCGGGGCTCTCCGGGGCCTTCTTGGAGCCCCACTTGGTGGCCTCGGAGGGCCGTCGAAAGCGGAAAAGGCGAGAAACCAACACGCATGGAGTTGCCTTAGGTGTTTGAGAGATATTCTGGCCTCCTGGTGGCGTCCTTGGCAGGTTCCCTGGCCACTTGGAGCCGTTTGGGGGCGGTCTTGGGGTCTTGAAGCATGCTGGAAAACAGATTGAGCTGCCTTGCGCCATCTTGAAGGCCATCTTGGAGGTCATCTTGGGCTCTCCTAGGCCCTTTTGGAACCCTCTTGGGCCATTCCGGACGTTCTAGCCGCTCGCGGTTTCTCCTCCTCCAGACCCAGGGGAGGAGGTAGGGGGGAGGGGTCGAGGCCCCCCCAAGACCGCAAGCCGTCTCGCTCGCTCCCGGCCGCCCTCCCGACACAGAAGTAGCACCCGAGTCTCAGCACATCGCCGAGGGGAGGAAGAAGGGGGGAGGGAGAAGGAGGACGCAGAACAAGGAGGGGGAAGGAGAGGGGAGGAGGAAGAGGGGGGGAGGGAGCACACGCATGCCATGTGCGCCACGGGCGCAGGTGCACCAGGCACCTTGCAGGCCCTTGCGCGCGAGGCGCGGCAGGTTTGGCACGTGCTCCACGAGCGCCAAGTGCGGCACGTGCTCCAGCCGCGCCAGGTGCGCCACGTGCTCGGGTGCGTACTTGCACAGCCGTCACCAGGTGGATTATGTACGGTTCCCAACCATCCTGTGGACAGCACCCCGCGACTCTTCCTCTCTCGAAATCTGCTGCATGCAGCTGGTTTCGGCCCCGCCAAAAGGCCCATTCCTCGATACATGGGCGCCTCCCGCGCCTCCCGGCGCCAGGAGGCGCTGAGAAAATCAGCTACGTGAGCTGATTCTCTACCCTACCCTTTGCTATCCCCCCTTTCGTTCCCCCCGACTCTCTTTCCTCATCCCCCTCCTTCTCCCCCTCCTCGCCTTCCTTACCTCTGCCCTCCGTTTGCACCTGTTTCGGCAAACCCCTCAGACGCTTCGTCCACATGCCAGCAATCGCATGCGCCCAACGCGCCCATATCGATACGCACATCACCCGTGTCGTGGCCCCACAGGGAGCTCCACCGACGGCCCCAGCAGCTGCGCTCGCATGCGCCCACCGCGCCCATTTTTGGAACGCCCTCGCACATTTCGCGGCCCGCACCTCTTTCGGCACACCCCTCACACGCTTCGTGGCCCCGGAGGGAGCTCCACCGACGGCCCCAGTAGCTGCGTTCGCATGCGCCCACCGCATCCATTTTGGTACATCCCTCACACGCTTCGTGGCCCCGGAGGGAGCTCCACCGACGGCCCCAGTAGCTACGTTCGCACGCGCCCACCGCACCCATCTTGGCACACCCCGCACACGTTCCTGGCATCGCTCGGACGTGTGCATTTTTTCCTTCGGCGAGGACCATCGAGGAGCATCCTTGATTATCTGGCGAGAAAAAAAAACGAAGCCGAACAAAGCACACGGAATGGACGTCCGACCGATGGCCAGCGCTTCGTGGCCCCGCAGGGGGCTCCACCGACGGCCCCAGCGGCTGCGTTCGCACGCGCCCACCGCACCCACGTTGGCACACCCTGCAGTTGACGCCTGGTCAGGCTGTGACCCTCGTCGAGTGGCGCGGGTCCACAGGTGCCCTGTGCAAGGCTGGGGCACGACGGGGTGCAGTCGTATGGATGCTGGCGGCTCCTGGGGGCCCGGCTGCCGGGCACCTTGTCTGGCCACCAGGCGTTGCCGCTTGGGCCGCTGGAAGCCCGGGCGGGGCGGACGTCGTGACCGCCGGCCTGACCAACGATGGGGGTGTGGAGGCTCGGCGGCGGTCGGAGTTCGTCATCCCCTCGCACACCTCGCGGCCCCATTGGGAACTCCACCGACGGAACACAAGCAGAGCGGGGACGAACAGGCCGCTGCGTTCCCTGACAATCAAGGTGTTAAGATAACGGCCACTTTGAGTCCAGGAGGGGAGAGCATGCTACGCATGGAATGAACAGGGTAGAAGATGAAGCGTTGGATCCGTGGGTGGATCAGCCTAGGCAGTCTGATGATTAGAGGCTTTGGTGCCTCTATTGGTCTTAGGTCAGCTATGATGCCAACCTGTGCCCACCCCGTCCCGTCTCCATGGACTTCGCATCCCCCTTTGATGGCAGGATGGGTGGGGAGACGGTCCGCCACCCCCGGCACCGCAGGTACTGTGCCGGGTTCGAGGGGATTTGTTTCGAGTTCAATGATCACCGAGCTCGTTCCATTACTCGCATAGTGCCTGCTCGCAAACGTCCGAAAAACACATGTCTGTTTCGACGTAATTTCTCGTATATCCCCCGCGGCGGATCCAGGCCATTTGCGAGTAGTCACTTTGCGAGTACTGAAACGCGCTTGTTCAAATGAATATATGGCCATAATTATGTCTTGGTCGGGGAACCTGTTAGTCCCCGAGGCTCGGCATAGCCAGTAAAGCACCTTCGTCCCTTGTTCGGCGTTCCTTGTGGTAGCACGGTGGCTGTAGTTTTGGTCTCGCGCGGGCCTGCGATGAGCGCGACGATTTGGAATTGATGGCAAGGCCGCCACGGCTCTTGTGCGACGGCGGGGCCTGCCGCAGATTGGATGCGCACCGGCGGGCGTGGCACGAGGGGAGCGGCCATCGCCGAAGCCAGGGGGGCATCGCAGGGACCCTCCCACACTCTATGAAGCACACCCCCGTCACCTTGGGAGGCCACCCCCCCTCGCCTCCCTCCCTCGTGCGCGCCGCAGGGCACCGCCGAAACCAGCCCGAAGGATGAGCCTCTGAAGCAAGAGACCATCGCACCCCTCGGTCTTGCGCATGCTTATGGCATGTTCTGCTCCCCCTGGTCCACGGGGTACCCCTGGCCTCGACTCTTCCGGGCGCGTTGCATCCCCACACTTCGTCTTCAAGGCCGATGTTGATTGTAGTGACCTGCAGTGCTCCCCCCTCCCCCCGAAGGGCCGCGCGCTGCTTGCAAAATCGGGCTCACTGGTTCACAACGCTCGCCGCCGCAGAGTGCGGCGCGCGGACATCGAGGAGCACTACCAGGCGCAGCTCCAGGAGCTGAAGAAGATGATGGTCTCAGACGTGCAGCGGATGCAGGAGGAGCACGGCGGGCAGGGGGCGGCAGATGTCCAAGCGGCGGTGCCTGGATGGGCCGTGCCAGGGGGCGACGGAGGAGCAGGAGGTCGACAACGGAGAGGGGGACGAGGAGGACGAGCACGTGGAGGACGATGAGGAGGAGGAGGAGGAGGAGGAGGAAGAGGAAGAGGAGGCGTCTCGGAACGACCGTCGTGCAACCCGGGCCCTCTTAGGCCTTCTCAGGAGCAATTTTGGGCCATCTTGGCCCATTCGTGGGCCCTCTTGCTCCTGGAAGAGTATACCGCGAACCCGCGGGATTTCAGCAGCGCCCAAGATTCGGGTTGTGGGCCCTTTCGGGGAGAGTAGCGCAATACTCATCACAAGAGTCGATGAGACGACGAAGAAGAGGAGTTCGACGTGGAGGAAAGCGATCACAGGGACGAGGGCGGCAGAGGCAATGGAAATGGATGGGGACGGGGTGGAGAAGAAGGAGGAGGAGAGGGACGATGAGGACGACGGCAAGGATAGGGAATAGGGAGGAGGACTCCGCGGACGAGGACGAGTAGACTGTCGTCGTCGTCATCATCGTCGTCGTCATCGTCATCGTCGTCCTCGCCCTCGTCCTCGTCTTCGTCCTCGTCGTCGTCGTCGTTTTTCTCGTCGTCGTCGTCGGCCTCACGCCCCCGCTCCGGGGCCCAAGCGCAGGAGTGCAAACGCCACTTCACGCAGCAGAAGGCCGAGAACCAGCGCCTGCAGCAGCAGATCACGACGCTCAAGGTTTTCTTGTTTGCGAGGGGTGAATGGGAGCGGGAGGGGGAGGGGAAGGAGAGGGAGGGAGAAGGGGTGGTGATGGGGGAGAAAAAGCAGGAGGGGGAGGAGGAGCGGGAGGATAACTAAGGGCAGGAGGACGAGGATGAGGAGAAGCAGGGGGAGGAGTAGAAGGAGGAGGAGGAGGAGGAGGAGGAGGAGGAGGAGGAGAAGGAGGAGGAGGAGGAGGAGGGGGAGGGGGAGGAGGAGGAAGAAAATTGTCCGTAGCCAGTTGGGCCCAAGACCATGGCGGGAAGCTCAGCGACTTGGCATTGCAGCGTGGGACGTTAGCGGCCCAAACCATTTTGCTTACATTATGGTGGTCTCACCCCCGAAGGCTTTTGCGTGCTTACGCTGTGTTGATGGCACCGCAGTCTTCTCCTCTCGTTTGCGATGACTGTAGGTGGAACAGTGGGGGCCATCCGACAGCTCCGTGAAACCACCAGACCCAGGAGTCGTGGGGGTTTCCCCTCTCGAGTGTAGCAGGCGTGGTGTGTGCTCAGTGTTGTTGCCCGATCAATCATTCAGATGCTATGTGTGTGCAAGTATTGCCGTGTTCCTCTTCCGCATCTGTTTGCCTCGGGTTCCCACCGGCCGTCCGTAACTAGATGGACCTCGCACCCGGCCTTTCGGAAAAGCCAGGGCTCAGGGATGGGGAGCTTTATGCTGGGCAACAATGGTTGCAAGGGCCCAGGCAAAGGGAAGGACTACGAGTGGAACGAAGCTGGCGAAGGCAGTCCGTTTTTTTTTCGGTTGAAGCAAAGCTGGGGGGGGCACCCAGCCACCCCCCGTTGGCCCAGTTTTTGTCATCTCGGCTTCAGAAGCGCGTGCGTACAGGGAAGTGCCGACCACAGCGGGGGAGATGGTCCCAGCCTGGCATTGCCATGACACGGCGCGGCACCTGGAGGCGGATTCCAAGCCCACGGTGGTTCCAGTTCATACCAATTTCAGCAGGCGCACTCTGGAACCAAGATGTTCGAGCAACAGCCCCCATTGGATCTCTGGTGCGGTTCGAGGAGCAGGTGGCAGAGGAAAAAGGCGCGGCGCGCGTGCAGCGGATCCTCGGCCACAGCAGACCGCGACTATCCCCCGACACTTTGCGAGCTTCAGCACGATAGCACATTGAGAAACATGGGTCAGCATCGGTTCAGAAAGTTTAGAGATCCATGGTCTGGAAAGGTCGACCGTCAATATCACATCGATTGCGACGACACGTTCTGGCCGACGCGGAGTTCGACGCTTCGCGCAAGGAGGATCACCGCACGAGGACTCACAACCCGGCGGGGTGTTCGCAGGCGCTGGTTCAGAGCCCTTTTCGAGCAGATGCCGATGTCGGACGTCCGGCCCGGGAGAAGCACGAGGCGCATCGATTTCGCCCAGCAGCCGAGAAGCGGACAAGCAACGACGGTGCAGCGCAGACGGGGGGAGGCAGTTCCGGCAGGAACGATTCACCTGCTTGGGAGCCAGGGCCCGCCAGCGCTGGCGAGGCCGCATCTGCTCGGGGCTCAAGAGACGGGGGTCGACGCAGACGGGGGTCAGCCAGAGCGCCCGATCTCCAGGGTCGCATTGACCCGGGCTTGGGCGCAAGTTCCAGCAGCGTCCTGCAGGGTCGGGCTTAGGCGCGGGATTTTGCAGGTTTCTGCAGGGCCTGACTGACCTGGGTCTGGATTGACCCGGGTCAGACGATCCTCGATCTGCTTCTGCTGGATCGGGGGGGCGGGGCCTCCCGGCCTGCGCCGGGCGATGACGTCCGCAAGAAGGCTGGCGCCACTTTGTTTGAAGCCGCGCCCTTCGCTGCCCCTGCGCGACGGGGGATCGCGCCGTCTTTCCTGTGCGAGACGCATGCTCGAAGCCTTCGCGGGGCCGATAGTTTCGCCGCGGCAGGCCCCGGGGCCCGGGCGGCGGGAGTCGATCTCCCCATGGGGGCGCAAGATTCGCACGGCATTCGCTCGGGCAGACAGTTTGCCCGGGCCCATTCACGCCCCAGTGAAATTCGCGCGCCCCCAGGGCCCCGGAGTGCCAGTCCGATTTCTCGCAGCGCCATGCCTGTTGCGTCTAAGCAGCGGCCTCCTGCCGATCTTTCAGCGGCAGACGTCGCGGAGCCCTGGGAGCTGGATAGCGCGCTCGGGAATTGGCGGCGCGCGGTCGTCCGTCGCACTCCGACGCGTCTTTTTTCCCCGTCTCGAGCACGGTCAGGGCGCGACGCCCCATGGCCGGCGGCGACCCCCCCGCCCCCCCCCCCCCCGATTCGTCAGATTTCGCCCCGGCCGAAACAAGTGATCGGGATGGACGGGCCCTCCCGTCGCCGCGGCCATTGCGAGCCCATGGAAAACGTCGATGATCTTCCTGGGATCACCCGCCGCTCTGACATCGTTCTAGCTCAAGAAAGAATGTCCCAATCTGAGTCCAACCAGCCTCCTCCAAGCCGGACGAGCGCTTGGGATGGACGAGCGCGCAGGCATCTCGGGTTTCGAGCGGAGGCGCTATAGCCCTGGCGTTTGCACTCGCGCGAAGAGCGGCCTGGGGCTCATCCACCTCGGGCCGGCAAGTCCTGGTCGAAGGACGAGCAGCGGCTGCTGTGGCGCGCGTTCTTGGCTGTTCTTCGCCCTGCCTGCGCTCGATCAGCATTCGCCGCGGCGAAGGTCCGTCGGGCGGTCGGCGAATTCGCCGAGAAGGTCCGTCGCGACTTCTTCGCGGGGGCCGACTGGCACGCGGGCCCCGAGGCCCACGTGCAGTCCGGTTTCGCCGAGAGGGCCCGGGCTTCACCGTCGGCCCCGAGGGCCCCGCCCGCCCCCTCAGGTCTGGCGCCCTCGAGCCGCGGCAAGCGCGTCTCCAGCGCAAGTTCCCTCCGCGCGTGGCTCGCCCGGCTGCCCCACCCCGCGCTCGTCGCGTCTTTGAGGCGCCGCTGAAGGCGGGCACGTTGTTGCCCTGTGGCCCGCGGCAAGCTGCTCTTTTGCCGCGAGCCCGACCAGGGCGCGAGCCATGCAGGCGCTCGACGAGGTTGTCTGCGGGCTGGGCAAGTCGGTCACATTCGGCGTCCACATACATGATCTTAGCTGGAGCTGCACAGGCGCGCCCACGGCGGCCGCCCAAAGTTGAGCCCGGGGAACTCGAGCCCTCGAGGACGCCGCCAAGGTGAAGCTGGAGTGCAAACTAGCCATGGACAAGAGATACATGGCCAGACGCAGCAATATCGTTTCGCAGCATTTATTGTCCGTGCTCGGGCCCTCGGCTGGTCGAGATTGCTCTCGAGCAACCCCGAGAGTCCCTGACTCCGCCGCCGGCCGACCTGCTCGAGCCGGCGGGGGGGCGCGCGAAATTGGCGGCCCGCGCCGCGGCGGCCCTGGGGGGACTCCAAGGTTGGACGGCGTTGGGGAAGTCATTGGGCGCGCGACAAGATCTGCGCTGCGGGGCCTTTGGCGGGCGCAGCCCGCGGCCCCGACCTGCGCGGCGCATCGGGCCGCGAGCTGCTCGACTGCAGGCGCGCGGTCACGTCGTGCGTCGAACATCGGGCACTAGGAAGGCAGTTCCCGGCCCCGCCCCTGCTCGAAGGGGGCCCGATTAGCGCGGCAGATTTGCGCCCGGCAGCAGGCGGGCGGTGGATTTGAAGTTTTGCGCGCGAAGGCGATCCCTCGGCCCCCTAGTCGAGCCGAGATGAGACAATGCCCGGGTCGGGCCCTTCGTGGGGCCAGCATTCCTGGGCCACTGATTGGGGCGATTTCTGTGCTTGGGATGACCGCGCACTGCCCCGGATGGACTATGGCCGTTTCTTGCGCCACCGCGGGCGGCCGCGGTCGCGCGATCTTTTTGACCCCGACCCCCCCCCCCCAAGCGCCGACCCGGGGCCAAGATGAAGTCACGGACCTCATTCTTGAATTTGCCCCAGGATCCTACACGGCATCTTGCCGCCGCGCCCATCGCGCGCTACTCGAAGGAACTCGAGTCGCATCAGGCAGTGATTCCCCTTTTTCCCTCGGCGGGCCGAGCCTCGGCAAGCGCCAGGCGCGGTTTCCGCAGCTGGCCAGAAAATTTGGAAGGGGGCGGCGAGCCTCTGGAAGGCATGACACTCGCGCTGGCGCGGATATCTTGGCACATGCCTAAGCGTTGAACGTTCCCGGGCGATTTCCGAGACGGCGCTCCTCCATCCGCCACCCCCCCTGCATTTCTGGAGAAGCCTCTGCGGGCGGCTGAGACCCACGAACGAGTCAGTGGAGCTGCCCTGCTTCCAACGCCCCCGGTGCTCGAGTGCGCCGCGACGCACTCGCAGCTGCCCCTCGTTCGAAGCGCGGCGCCAGTTTTCAACGAGGACTCGCTAGCAGTCGATTGCAACGCTGCGTGGGCCAGAACCAGAGCCAGGGAGGCCAGCAACGACGTTGACACGCTGAGCGCCATGTAACGTCAGCCCAGGCACCGTGCTACACAGGCCCCGTTTATGCCCCACCTGCGACCGACGCCAGAGAGCGCCCAAGCTTTCGGGCGTACTTTCCGACGAGGTCCCCCCCCTGATCTCGCCCGGTCGGTAAGTAGGAGGTTTGCTTGTTGTACGCTCGAGGCCTCTTTCGGCATCCAGGCCATGCTTTCCCTTACCCTGCCCGAGATGATGGCGATGACACCGGCCGCAGATATTCTGCGCCTGCGATCCTAAATGCCGTTATCTTCGTTGCCGGGTCTTGTGTTTTTCACGCGGGTGACGAAATTTACCGGGGGGCGTGGGCGATGATTCCGTTGGAATTTGCCGCATCAGCTCCCCCCCTGTGGCCCCCACCTGCAGGCTGCTCAGGGGGGCGAATTCAGGGCTCGCGCCGCTGCCGCCGCGCAGGCCTTGCGAGGCAGCTCCAATTATGCTGACGTCAAGAGTGTTGTCGCCCAGGCTTATAAGCCGATGATGCGGGCCCTCTCTTGCAAGCAGGTGCACCCCAGGTTTTTGCGCCCACCCGCAGGAAGTTTTCCGACGGCGACTTCAATTTCAA